CTAAGGGTTTCCTCAGGATCCTTACAGGGATATTGTACATGGCTAGGCACATACAACAGTCGCATCCTTACAGCTGAAGAAGTATAGAGATGTTAAAGATTGATAGTAGCATGGAAACATTTTTTATCGTACTATTTCAGAGGGGTATGGGCATTGGCTTATACTTAATTCAGGCTATTGGAATCTAAATCTAAATTGTACTAAATGTATCTGAACATCTCTCTTTACTTTATCCACCATGTTTGCAGTTCCTCATTAAAATCTCTTCCAATCCCACTAGTAGTTCTTAACACAGGATTTCTGTTTAGCCCAATCTGAGATAACCCTGATCACATCAACAGACTTAAAAAAAAAATTAAAAAAAAGGTCCTTCCCCCTCTTTTGGATGGCTGGATAATATTCCTCATGATGCCTAAGCTGATTTCCGTGCTGTGTAACATCTGTGAAGTGCCCCTTTAAGTCAATCCCAACATCTGCTCTCTGTCTATTTGGATTTGATTTGGAGAGAAAAAAACACAAAAAACTTGACATTTCTGGATATCTAAAGTGGAGAACACAATCTCTTTGCTTCCTCTGTGTCCACTCTCAAAGCTTGATAGAAAAACAAAGAGGGTTGTTTCAGAAGTCCTGCAGAACATGGTAGATATATGTTTTCACCTTTTTCAGTGCTGGTTTTAGTCTCTTGGTAGGCAACAAATCTCTGCAGTGAAACATAAACAGGCTGCTTCTGTAAATTACTCCTTCATGCAGAATGATTTATGACCCTGAGCTTGCAAGATTGGATCCCGCAGAATCCCCATGTTTAGATATCTTCATATATCCTCTATGACGCAGAATATATTTATGTAAGATTGTTTTGTGGATTACTATTTTAGATTTGTGCAAGAAATACAGAGATTTTTTTTTTTTTTTAGTTCACCTACACAGAGTATTGATTGCGCCTCCTCTCTCTTTTCCTCTTTTTTTTTTGTATCCCTCTGCTTATGTCTTCGGAGCCTTTTCTTACTGGGCAAATCAAAGCTCTAACATTAATAAAAATCAAACTCATGTGGGCGTTTTGTGCTTCTCTTCTGTTGCAGTGCTGGCCAGTTTCCGAGGGACTGTCCAGCATGGCCTCCCGCTGGAAATCGGTGACACGGTGCAGATCCTGGAGAAATGTGAAGGTACGGTTCATGCTTGACTAATAGAAATGAAACAGAAGCAGTAGCTTTCGCTTGAGTAGTGAAGTGAAAACATATAATTTACTTCAGGAACACTTCCCCCTTTTGTCTGTTTTATCACTTAATCTCTTATTAAATCTCAGATATTTGAATGTGCCTTGTACTACTCCTTTATGTCTTCTTGAAGGTTATCTTCATGCAGTTTGTGCACAAAATGAGCGTCGTCATGTCTGTGATGAATGCCTGTGGAAATTCATGTTTGCTACTGTTTCCTGCGCCGCAGACTGACTGCTTGTCCCTCCTTCCTGCCCACGCCGACTCTGTTTTTCTCCTTTACTTTTTTGCTCTCTCTTTCACTGTCTGTCTCCCCATCTACATATTTTATTGTCTCCTCCTCCTCTTCACCATTTTACCCCTTGCTTTTACTTTCCTTGGTCGTTTTAAAAAAGAAAAAAAAAATCCAGATTGACATAAAACCGCAAAACAGTCCTATGCGCACCTTGAGCAACCATGCACAAACACATACAGACCTCCCTCTTCCGGAGCTCTTTACACACTCTTTCTTACTTCCTATTCCGAGACAGAAGCGCGCACTCACACAGAGAGAGAGTCAGCTATATAGTCGTGCAGACAGCCAGGCAAGGCGATGTGATATTGCAGTTAAAGTTCCCTGAGGAAGTAGACTGTGGCACTTGCCAGCGGAAAGCTCGGTCCTGAAGGGAGGAGCGAAAATCAAAATCCTGCCAGCAGTGAGGGGGCTGAGAGACGGGCTGCTGACAGCAGAGGAGATAGACTAATGGGTCTGCCTCGTGCTGTTGATGCTTCTGACACTTCAAAACGCAGCAGCTTACTGTGTGAAAGTGTCTTTACTGACATGTGGCTCCTGTCTGTAAAGGCTCTGTCTCAGTAATTGATTTCTGAATTAGAGTTTTAATACCTCTTGAAGTTTGTTAATTCCCTGACTGCGATGGATACATTAGAGTATGGAGGGTGTAGATTAAAGCTTCTGTGAGGAATTTTCAAATGGTTATGAATCAGACTGAAATGACTAATAATGCCTCTATACGACATCAAAAGCAAATCACGCCATCAGGGAGATTTGATTGTTGTACTGATTAAATTTACCTACATGCCTGTCATCTTTACCGTGGGGTAGGCGTCAGATGAGGTGATTAACATGCTGTACAAACGGCCTTTAAAAAAAATATTTCCAAGCCAAAGAATTGTAGTGAGTTGATTGTTAGACAAGTTCCTCACATGTGGTATAGAATAAAAACCACTTATTTAAATCTCAACCCATCAAATGTGTGATGATGTATGTTTGATTCCTACCGCCTGACTAATAAAGATAAAAAAAAAAAAAAGGATACTATTTGAAATCATTGAAAAGTGGGTGTTTTTGACCCCACATCAAGTTGGATGATGTCACAGCAAGTTTGGGTTTTATACTACAACGTCTTTAACTAATTCATGTGTTTAACTGATACTTTAAGCTGCAGCTTTTATTGTGCAACTCCTCGGGTCTATGTAGCCGACACATTAAAAACAGTGATCTGATCGTACTGATTTGGTTATAGATGTGTTGCTGCACTTGACACTGACTTACTACTTTGAAAAAAAAAAAAGTGTCACATTTCCATGATCTCTGCTGCTGAAGAAGTGACTCATCCAGGAAATACTGAGCATGTGTTCCACTGTGCAGACCCAGACAAATTACTCAATGCTCTTCAGACAGTGCATGCTGAAAACGGCAGAAGTCACATAAGCTCACTCCGAACCCAACTGATTCCAATTCCATTTAAATTAAAGCTATTCAAGTTAAGTGTGTTATCTTAAGGGATATACAAGTCCAATGGTGGAATGAGCTAAATTGTCAGTTTACATAAAGGAGCAGCTCAAACCTTACAATGTAAATGTATAAAATTGTTTCCATCAGCTCAGAAGCATCGAGCATGTACTAATTTGGTTTTAGCTTAGGTTTTACTGTGTAGTGGTGTGAGAAAAAGAGTATGCAAACCACAGCTTTTTTCACACCTATCCTCGGACATGTCGTTGTTGTGGGGTTTACGGGCTTTTCAGCGGCTTTGTGTTTCACAGGTTCTTCCTCTTCACACTACTGTTCATTAGCCTGTGGTCTCTGCAAGCACAGGTTGTTAAAAACAAGTTGTTTTGTACCGCTACGCTCTCGAGGGCTCTTGTGAAATATATATATATATATATTGAGAAAAAAAAAAAAAACGGTGTTGCGATTTGGTTGCAGGGGAAAATTCTCCAGTTGGCAGTGAAATAACTAGTCAGCCTTGTTTTTCACATGACACTGAATTGGATTAAAAATACATGTCTGGTGGGCTGATTGTTGATTTATTTTGTTGACACTCTACATGTCTCATCTTGCATACCCTGAAATCAAAAACAGACATAGCAGTTATATTCAATACTGGCATGCTTGAAATTAAAATCGTGCTTTGTCTCTGCAGGGTGGTACCGAGGGTTCATCCTGAAGAATCCAAATATCAAGGTAAGTGAAGCTTTTGAGTTCTTGTGCATGTTCTGCTCGTCTTTCAGTTGCTTCTAACTTATTTTGACCCTCTCTGACTCCGATACTCTTTCTGAGGAAGAGTTTGTATTGGTTGCTGTGTCAACTGACAAGAGCTTTGATATCAAATGAAACCTCTCTTGTGGCATTATCATTGTTAACAGCGTGTAGCTTGAAACCACAAGGGTCAATGACAGATTATGTCGGTTGTACATCTCATCTTGTCAAGTGGTCAAGCTTTCCACTTAATTTGTGAATTGCTTCGGATGACAGTAAGAGGAGCTGCATGTAGAGAGCTGCTGCCTCTTCATCCATAAACAATAAGAGGCTATACACTCATGCTACAAAACAACCACAGGTGTTTTGAAGATTTTAGCCCAGAAGTTCTTCTCAGGGCTGCGAGGGCATTTACATAATGTGCACGTTAGTTTTCTCCTTAAAAGAAATGCAAAAGGAAAAAGAGCTGCAACTTTTTAAAGTAAAGAAATCAACAAATATTTGAATATTCTACTAATTGTGTTATTGATGAATGAAATTAAAACGCTAGCTGTTTCCAGCTTCATAATTATAAACATTTTCTGCTTGTCTGACATCATGTAGATGAGAAAGTCCTTAAGTTTTAAACCGTTGGTTTGACAAGTAAGTAGTCTGAAGAAGCCAATTTGGGCTCTGGCATATTTTTGATGAGAATGTTTTGCAACTTCTTTGACACTTTATAGACTTACAGATCAATCTATCAATCAAAATGAAAATTCACAAGTCTAATGTAGCATTAATAATCATGAGCTGCAGCCCTACTAACCGATTAAACCAAAATGAACCGTTAACGCGTTATAATTCAGCTCCACATGCAGAATGACATGAGCTAATTGACTGAGCTGAATGTGAGTTTTTAAGACTATTTGGTGCAGTCGGACACCTTATGAGTGTTGTGGGAGTGTGTGTGTGTGTGTGTTGCATTTAACCCCGGATACTAACACATAAATTCAGCTTTGATCTTTCAGTCAAAAGGGAGCTTCTTTTATTAGCTTAACACACACACACACACTCACTAACAAACACACAAAAACCCTTTTTGTATTTTTCTTGTCTCATAAATCCCGTTGTTCTCATTTTCTCCTCTTTGTTATCTGCTCTTCTCTCCCTTTGCTCCTCTTCTTTAAACTCACAAACACACTTAACATCGATTTTGTGCATCGTTGTCACACGCTGACAGATTGATGCTAATGGCAGCGTTGCGCTAATGGCTTCTCATTAACCTTGTTTACCTTGTGCCCAAAGGGGATCTTCCCATCCAGCTACATCCACTTGAAGAATGCCCATGTCAAGAATAAAGGGTAAATAATACCACTCATTTGAAACGTCTTAAGATTCCTGTGTATCATGCTGGATGTTTGAACTCCCCCCCCCCCCCCCTTGCATGTTTGTAGGCAATTCGAGACGGTCATCCCTGTCGAGGACTCGGTCATCACAGAAATGACGTCGACGCTTCGTGACTGGGGCGCCATGTGGAAGCAACTCTATGTGGTAGGAAATCCAGATGCAAACACACTCCCACACACATGCACAGCTTTTTTTTTATTGATCTCATTTCACAAGCGCCTGAGCTAAGCTGCCTCTTTAGGTTTCTCATGAAGGGAATGTGTTTGGCCCTGGGTAATTCTAAAGCTACAAACAGTCAAAACCTTTTGGTATACACTCATTAGTCGGATTGATTGTGTTTGTGGCCTATTAAAGCTATCTGGGGTGCTGATTAAATTGAGCTGATGAATTCTCGCAGCTCAAAGTGCATACATTTGCAGCAAAAAGCAGCAGGACACTGACGCTAATTTGCACCAGTCCCTCTTCCAGCCTCTCCTCTCTCTCCCTCGGTTGCACTCTGCCGTCACCGTCCTTTTTCTCAAATGTTTTTTGGGTGGCTCGTTGCCACTGTATGTTTTCATCTTCTAACTTGTGTCTTCCCCTCTTTCTGTCACCCTCATTCTGTCTTTCCTTTTTTTTTTTTTTTTTTTTGTCAATTTCCCTTTCATTCATCTCTTCTCCGCTCATGTTTTCCCTCCCTGTCTCTCCTCACTGTTTTCCTTCCCTCCACAGAAGAATGAGGGGGATTTGTTTCACCGGCTTTGGCACGTGATGAATGAAATCTTGGACCTGAGGAGGCAGGTGCTGGTAGGACACCTCACCCATGACCGCATGAAGGACGTCAAGCAGCACATCACAGCCAGATTGGACTGGGGCAACGAGTGAGTAGATGGAGGGCAGATTGTAATACCCACAAACACAATTTGTATTGTTCCATCTCAAAGGACCATATCTGGTTTTTATCTTTTTTTAGTCTCATGGATTATTCATTGGTTAAAGTTTGCTACTTGTTTTGGATACTTTAACTATATTGCATTGTTTGATAATCAAACATCAGTGAAAAAAAGAAAGCGTGAGAGCAGCAATCCATCACTGGGAACGCTCGGTCGGCTTTATGGTTTGTGAAAAGTTTAAAGGAAGTTTTATAATGCATGGTAATTCAACATTGAACCGGAAAGTTTTCGGCGGATTCAACAAAGGAAATCTGACAACATGGATTTGGAAGTTGGTTGGCCAAGTGCTGTCTTTTTAATCAAAGGTTAGACCAAATCCATTTGATACTGTTTACAACTTTTTTTCATTGGAAGACACAATGGCTTCTAAAACTTTCAATTTCCCATCGAGGCATATGTGAAGTTGTTAAAAAAGGAAATTGTCAGCTTGTCTTGTTGACTTGCTTTATTCACATCGGGGCGGCTGTGGATCAGTTGGTAGAGTCAGTCGTCTCTCAACCGGAAGGTCGAGGGTTCAATCCCCAGCTCCTGCAGCCAGATGTGTTCTTGGGCAAGACACTTGACCCCAAGTTGCTCCCACTGCTTCGTCGGTGGCATTTGCAAGTGCATGAATGGATAAGTTAATACTGATGGACACTCTTCATAGCAACCTCTGCCATCTGTGTGTGAATGTGTAGGTGTGACCTGCGGTGTAAAAGCACTTTGAGTAGTCAGAAGTCTAAAAAAAAGGGCTTAACAAGCTCAAGTCCATTCTCCATTTATACAGAAATGAACCACATGTTGCTTCTTGAATGACTGGGATGAGTGATGCATTTTGTTCTATCACTACTCAAGCAGGAATAGAACCATTAAACACTTTCAGGGCTGATTAATCTCGTCTGTCTTATTTATTTTTTACATTTCTTTCTGAATTTACTTTGAAAAGGAACTTTTCTCTCCTGATACCTGATTAGGATATCTGAAGATTAACTTATTATTGAAATTTCAGTTTTTACAGGTTGAATTAGGTCGAATTATACACACACATGCACAAACAAGATCCTATGGACATGCACTGGTCATGAGCTGCTGGTGAGCAAGGGGTTTGGTGCCTTGCTCAAGGGCAACTCAGCAATGCTCAGGCCCCTCTCAGGCTACCAGACCAACTTCCATATTTGGTCCAGACCGGGACTTGAACCGGCGACCCTCCGGTTTCCAACCCAAGTCCCTACAGACTGAGCTACTGCCGCCCCTGAAGACACAGATCTGTAGATACAGTGTACCGATCTGATATGCTCTCTTTTCCCAAAATGAAAAATGTCTTATCTCATGAACTCCACCATGAGTGAGTGCATTTCAGCTGATATGAGACTAAAGTGAGACACTGAACATCATAATGACATAGATGAAGAAACTATATCAAGTTAAAGCAATTTTGTGGTAAAACAAGGCAACTTGTTTCATTTCATTCCCCTGCTCTTAAATGATTTGATCGACATTCTTAGATTTATTTAAATGCACCACTGTTTTCCCCAGCCTGTATTCACATCAGCGTGAGGGATAACATGCAAGCCTTCATTGTTGTTTTACAGCACCTATAGGAGAGAAAGTAAATCATCAACAAAAAAAACCTAAGCAGAGTTTTGGAAATGGTCGTTGATAATATAAATCGTATTTTAAGTTAAAGATCCTTGTATGGTCTGAAAACAAGTTGGTTGGAGTTTTACCTCAGCAACACTTGAAGCAAGAAAAACAATTAAAAAATAATATCATATACTTTTTTCTTTTTTTTTTTCTTTTTTACTTCCTAGAGCTTTTTGCAACTCTCCAACTCGACTTTTCTTCCCTCTTAGACTCTCTCTCCTCTGTCTTTTGTTGTCACCTTCCATCCCTGCAGGCCCCCTCCTCACTCTATCAAGCCTCTGTCGCCCTCTCACACAGACAGCACTCTCTCCTTCTTCCTCTCTTCTTTTTTTCTCCATGCCATGGGGTTGAAATGAAAAAAAAAAAAAACTCCCCGCTTCTGTCATTCTCTTTTTATATCTGTCCTTACCCTTCACTCTCCTACGTTCCCCTGCTGTGGGCTCTCCTCACACACACACATGTACACATATCTATTTAGTGTGGAGACGGGTGGACGGTCCCTCGCGGTACCAGGCCTGTCTCTTTTAGCGCTGACAAGGAGACACACTCTCCTCGTCTTGGTCCACTGAAAGGGATGTCCTAGAGGAGGACAGGGAGACGAGAAACAGGGGGAGGAAGAGAGAAAAGAAAAATGAGAGGTAGAGCTGTCTACGGAAGGTGATGAAGAAGTAAAGTTTTTTTATTTTTAAAAGGGAGAGAGTTAGGGATGGCGAGAAAAAGTGATTGAGGGGATCTCTTTGAGGTAGAAAGAGGACAGCGGGGGGCTAAAGGGAGAAATTATTTTTCATTTATCTGTCTTTAAAGAAGAGGGCAATGTGTCAAGTGTGTTCAAAGAGCTGTCATGGGTGATCCGACAGCACTGTTTTGTGCGTGTGTCAGGTTTTTTTTTTGCAACTTGTGGCAGGGGTGGACCCAGAGAGCTGGCCTGTTGTGGCATGAGCCCCCCATTGGCACATGATTGGCCACCCCAAGTGCCACTCCAAGATATTAATTTGTGATTGGCTATTTGCTTTGTCATAGACCGGGCTTATGTAGAATTAACTATTTTGGATGTGTTTTAGCTGCTTGTAGCTTTCTTTGCATTTCAGTGTGGCACATTTCCTTAGGTTACTATTTTGGACATGCATCTTTTTCAGTGTGTAAAAGAGTGAAGCACGGAAGGTTTATCCATTTCCACTCTGTTGTGTTACTTTTCACAGTAAAATGTATACGTAGGAATTAAACATATTTCAGATACGTCATTGCTGCCCCAGTTGGGCCACCCCAGTCTAAAAAGTCTGGACCAACCCCTGACTTCTGTATATTAATAAAAACCTCCTACACCAGTTATATGTGAAATAACTAAAGAAATCTGTTTAAATCTTTGTCATTCACATCCCTCATGTTTCCTGTTTTAATCTTTGTTTTACAGACAGCTCTGCTTGGACCTGGTTCCGAGGCGAGAGTTCAGTATGGTGGACCCAGACGAAATCAGCGTCACAGAACTTTACAAACTGGTGAGTGGTTTTTTTCCTCAACTTATACCGCAGTATTAAGACACTTTGTTGTCAATCTTAAACCTCAATTAGGGAGCAGAAAGCAAAAAAGAGCAGGTGAAATTTGAAGTCAGTCAGAGAGTAAAAGCTGCTTCTTGCTTTAAGCAAACATTTTACCCAACATGTTCTTCAACTGATCACAGCAGACAGTTGAAGGATGTTTCACCAGTTTGCTGGTTCAGTTTTTTAGTCTGTTCCGGCATGTACGCTCTGAAGTGATGTGGGAAGTTGTCGAACATCAACCAGTGATCTTTTTGAAAGTTTTACCTCAGAGCTGGTGGTAGAGGCTGTGATGGGAAGTTGCAGACTAATCTGTGCCTACTTCCAACCAAGGAAATCTGGTCCCTGTTAAATAAAGGACTTTTATACTACACCAGAGTGCCTCAGACTTTCAGTTTAGAGTGCCTTTCCCCACACTATGAACTCTGTTTGTTATCAGGACAGTCAACTATTTATTAGCTATTTGACTTCTGTTCCCGTTTCTTGAAGAGCACCTGAATCGTCGACATTCAACCCTTTTTCAAGGAAATCTGTGATTGACTTCTCAGACAAGAGTGTCACCAGGTTATAGTGAAGGATCTCTATGATGTGCATTCAGACGGTTTTGGCATTGTGTCTGTAGCTGTTTTGGAGCATTTCCCCAAGGTAATGTGTTTGCCTATTGGTCAAGCATTTGTAGATGTTCACATTTCTGCTGCATCTGAGTACTTTCAGGACTTCTGTACCATCTTGGCATCTGAGTTGGGATTAAAAGTTCCCTCATAAGAAGTGAAATTACAGTTGACTGAGCAATCTCACCACAAGCACCAATTTGTGGTTATCGATCCAATTCTTTCCATTATTTTTTTTCTGCACTTTGGGGATTTATTTTCCATATTTTGCTTTAATAACAGACACTTTTTTTTTTTAAAGATTTGACCCATCAAAAAGTTTTTTAAAACATATTATTTTGTAATTGTATCTCTTTATTTAAGCTTCTTTTCACAGCGTTTAATTTAAACAAGCACCTCAATGGGCTACTAACCTCTAAGAAAACAAATGCTGTCTGATTCTCTTTAGGTACATTGTCTCTTCCTAACTCTCTTTCTCATTCTCTCCTTAATTTCCTTACGGTTTGCTCCCTGCTTCCCCTTCTATTTTTCTCCAAGCCCCATCCACTGTTACCATGGCAACCACTTCTCTGCCCTGTTACAGTGAGGGGAGAATTGTATCACACACACACACACACACACACACACGCACACACAGTGGCGGCTTTTCCTTCGCAGGGGTAATTGAAGCTCTTAATCCATCTGTTTCTTTTTTTTGTTTTGTCAAAACAAAAGCAGGCGTAGCGAAATGAAAGCTTAACGTACCTCCATTAAAAGGCGTATAAAAGGAGTAAATGACTGCAATTTTCTCTATATTGAGACTGCTGCCATCTTCATACATATACACACACACATTCAGGCACACCGAGACACAACACACCGTCACACCGAGCTCAAATCACATCGATATGTTTTCAGCGAGATCTTTGTTCATTGGAGCAGCTTCTTTTGTTTCTGTCTTGTGCTGCGCTGCTGCAGTGTGGTTTAATTGAATTGAGATGGGGATTACCTGGTGTGTGTCTTTGTGTCTGTGCGTGTGTATTGTGTGTACGTGTAGCTGTGTAGCTGTGTGTGTTCTGAATTGTCAGTAGGAAATTACTGTGGGGAAAATGTATCCTGACTGCTACATTGTGTAAGAGAATTATGACATATCTGTGCAGGGAGGAATATGGAGGACACCGAGAATAATAAAGAAAATACATTTGGCTTTTAAGTATAGGATGAAATACATTTTAAACTGGAATGCAACACACGAGATAATGACTTTGATTAACAATGGAGTTGCTTTATCTGATTGATTTATTCATATACATTAATGTATCTGGTTATATCTTTATATCTATGTGCAGCCATATAGGGGCAAAAAATAACCCACAACTGGACCTAATAAAATCAAACCAGATCAACAGTAAATCAAGATCAACAAAGGACCAAAACTTGTCAGCTCCCAAGAAGCCCCTCTTCTTTGAGGTCAGCAATGTACCTTTAAGCACTCAAGACCAGGCTCGCCGTGTTGATGACAGCGTCACATGACGAGCCAATGAGACAACAGCAGAAAAGATGGAAAACTCAGCAAGGATAACATAAAAACAAGGTAAAATGTAAGAGGCACTGAAACAGCCTTTGACAAACAATAGGGATCCTTGACTGATGCTCTTAGCAGCTTCTATGACACACAGAATAAAGTGCTGAGTCAACAAATATAAACAGGTCACTGTTAAATATTCATCGCTGGTAATAAGATTCAAAAGTGCACATTCCAACACAGTCGAATACATACATACATACATACCACACAAAACCTCAATAATATTAGCCTACATACATGAGAGAGTAACTGCTGACAAAACTGACCAAAGTGACAGAGCCAAAGTCAGATACAAACTTAGAAAATATTCAATTAAAAGCTTGGCCAAAGTGATACGTTGCCCGGGGCCCCAAGCTGAGAGGTCACAGAGTTGTCCTTTCTTTTGAAAGAAGCTTGTCTTTGTCCATTGGGGCCTGTTTTTCTTCTTTTTTTTTTTTTTTTAGTTGACTCATTTGACTCTACTTTGAAAACAAACCTTTTTTTGAAGGATTTTATTTTGTTGTAGCTTTGAAGAACGAAGATCAAATCCCTAATTTGCTCTCCAGCCTCATGCTTAGTCTGCTCTGTTGCTAAAGCTGTCTGTAGTGTGAAGGCGAGGCAAGCTTCAAACTATCGGTTTCTTCCTCTGAGAGCGAGTGCAGAACAGACCAGAGCTCAGATCTCACAGCGATGAATTCATTAATGGTGTCAGAACGGCCAGCAGTGATAGATTGCTTTGGCCTGGCCTTGGAAATGTGGTCGTAAAATTTCAGCTGTGATTTTACTTATCACTAAAGGGTTTAAAGACTACACACACTTCCCTTGCTTCCTGGTTGTGTGACACAGGTCTCCCTCGCACATGCTTATAAGAGAGATTGAAAGAGGCTTAAATAGTGATGGAGAAGTGAGGGATGAAAAGCAGCTCTGCTGGAGGGATGTGGAAGGACTAGAAGTTTCTCAGTGTCCTCAGTTTGACCCCTCGTCCTCCTTTTTAGAAGCTCCTTGTAGCTCCCCAGTAGCACCTTTTGGTAGTGCTTCATGCTGTTTAGGAAAGATTACCAAGTGAACAATAATAAGACGGTTGGGCTAACACACACATGGTCACACTCTACCTCATTCATGCTCTCCTTTTTGCCCACAGCGTTTTGTTGCCAGCGGGTCTGCCAGGCCTGTCATGTGTACCCTCTGTGTCTAGTCAT